CTTTCCCCCCAGAGTATTAGGAATTTAACCCAGGGTCTCACACATTCTAGACAAGTGCTCTACCACTGAGCTACATCCTCAACCCTGTTGTAAACTTTTAAGATTAGTCCTTTTATTTCCAGGTTTTTGTTAATATAATAATCACTTCTTTCTCGTTGGTCTGGTTTAATTCTCTTCTTTCTTGTACCTTCTGAGAGGTGACATTATCAGCAAGATGTTTTAAGAATTTTATCAGATGCTTATATTTTGAGAATGCCAGCATCAGCACAACCATAGAGGAGTTTTATATCCGTTTGTAATTTATATTATGTTGGCATTGGTAGTCTGTATGTACTTCCACAACAATAGCATTACCTTTCTCCTTTCTTTTAGTGGGGGAGTTTATTGGGCATTGAACCGAGAGGCACTCTACCACTGAACTACACACCTAGCCTTTTTTATTTGAGACAGAGTCTTCCTAAGTAGCTTAGGGCCTTGGTAAATTGCTAAGGCTGCCCTTGAACTTGTGATCCTCCTGCCTCAGCCTCCTGAGTCACTGGGATTACAGGGGTTAGCCACTGTTTCTGGCTCAAATATATAGTTGAAGTCCTATAATTGTTATGGTAGCTCTAATATTGCCTGAAAAGGGAAGAATAGACTATAATAATGCTTGCTACTCCAGAAATATTCAGAGTCAAGTTGGTATGAGGACTATTTTTTCCCAAAGCCAGCTTTGAAGGAAGATAGAAGAAACAATTGTTTCAAAAGTTGTGTCTCTGAGAAGGGATATCTCTAGGACTGGGATGAGTAGAGCTTTTTAATGGGTGAAGGTGTGTATTAGGACCAAAGACAGGAATTTCACAGGTTTTGCTTATTTTCCTTGGATCCTCCTTATCATGTCAAAAGGAACTTTGGCATAAAAAGGAATAAATTTCCTGGGGACCAGCATTTGCATCTTCCTAATTTCAAGGGTAGTGGGGGCATATTTAATCAGTTTCATTGTGCTTTCCATTGACAATATCCCTTCAGTGCCCTTGAGACTTAGTTTAACACTATTTTAAACTTTACATTTTTGTGGGGCTTGGTTTTGCATTTTTGTTATAAAACAAAACTCAGATAAAGAAAATCACACTTATTGCATACTTTGAATCAGAGGGCAAACATCCTTGTGTTAAGGAGCTGGGGTCTTCTGAGAAACAGGCACTGTGAAAACTACCTCTTCCAACCCTGATTCTTGCGATCAAGTCAGAAAGATTTTTTAGAGATGAGAGAGGTAGGTCCTCTCAGGAGAGGGGCAATGTGCCTCTCCTGCACTCCAGTTTTATTAGGGATCCCAGAGAACTTTCCAGAGAGTCTCATCCAGATCTACTCTTGACTTTTAACTGACAGCAGGGTGACATCAGATTTTCCAGTCTCCACTGTCATGGCAACTCTAGGTGACCTTGATCCATGCTGACTAGTTCTAATTGGATTCTTTTTTGTTGTTATTGTTCCATAACTTGCTTCTTTTACTCTTGACATGTTTCTTGTAAATATTTCCAATTCAATACTATTGACTTGCTTAATTCAACTTTTTTCTCACAGTGACTCTTAAATATGGAAATACCAAAATATGGTTCACTTGCTGAATATCTTGTTTGCTTCTAGTTTCTCATATGTATTTTATTATGAGTGATATTATTTTTTTAGATAAGGATATTTATTTTTTTTTAAATTTTAATTATTTACTTTTGCATTACAATTCTTAATACACCATTATATCATAACTTAGCATATCTCTGATTATATATAAGGTATGTTGACACCAACTCGCATCTTCATACATATATTTTGTATAGGTACACTCATACACTGCTGGTGGGACTGCAAATTGGTGCAGCCAATTTGGAAAGCAGTATGGAGATTCCTTGGAAAACTGGGAATGGAACCACCATTTGACCCAGCTATTCCTCTTCTCGAACTATACCCAAAGGACCTAAAAACAGCATATTACAGGGACACAGCCACATCAATGTTTATAGCAGCACAATTTACAATAGCTAAACTATGGAGTCAACCTAGATGTCCTTCAGTGGATGAATGGATAAGAAAAATGTGGCATTTATACACAATGGAATATTACTCAGCAGTATAAAAGAATAAGATCATGGCATTTGCAAGGAAATGAATGGCATTAGAGAAGATTATGCTAAGTGAAGTTAGCCAGTTGCAAAAAAAATAAATGCCGAATGTCTTCTCTGATATAAGGGGGGTGACTCCAAAATGGGGTTGGGAGGGAGAGCAAGGGAGGAAGATTACCTCTAGATAGGGAATAGGGGTGAGAGGGAAAGGGAGGGAGAAGGGGAATAGAATGGATGGTGAAAGGAGACCCTGATCACTAATTGGATTCTTAAACATATCTTCTTAAAGATTTTATGGTTAGGAGGAACTGTTTTATCTCCCATAGTTTCAGGATCTGGTCATAAAAATCTCCTGGGTTCTTCTCATCAACATTATCTTGGGCCTGCATTTCTCCTGCAGTTAACAGGCAGTTTGCTGAGATATGTGACATCCTGTCCATTTAGGCCAGGCAGGGCTGCAGGCAAATTGCTTCTTGGAAAAGAAAGCATGTTGGGGGTCAGCACCATCGTCCTATTTAGAGAATTATTCTCTCAACCTCTTGTTCCCACTGTCCTCATCTGTCTGTCCCCTAACATTTGGAACTACTACTCAGGTCAGGAGATTGACCTTTGCTAGCTACTCTAGGGATCTTCTGTGTATCCCTGATCACTATCCTTTTTTTTTTTTTTTAATCATAAGCACTTCTTTTATCTATTTTTAATAGTATTTTGAAAACACAGCTATCGTGTCATACTTTAAAAAGTCCTGATCGGGGATTGTAGCTCAGTGGTAAAGTGCTTGCCTAGCACATGTGAGGCACTGGGTTTGATCCTTGGCTCCACATAAAAAATAAATAAATAAAATAAAGGCATTGTGTCCATCTACAACTAAAAAAATATTAAAAAAAAAAACTCCTCAAAGTCTTTCTTCAATTTCTTCTACTCAGTATGCTGAGTACATTTTCCAGTTTTATTTTCCTAAATTTTATGCACCTTTTTGTCTTTCATGTCTCATTTCTCTTTAGATATCTTGTTCATTCTCTTCAAGTTTCAACTTAAATATCTATCATACACATCTGTGTGTGAGGGTCAAATGTGATAATGTAGAAATGTCTTTGTAAAGTAATGCATGATAAAAATATTATCTGATAAAAAAGTATTTGAAATTAAAAAAATTTTTTCATTAATGATCATGAATAAAACTAAAGAGATTGAAAGCTTGTTCTTCTTAAAATGTATCTGAAATTCACTCTTAACATCATAATTATTCCCTGTAGCAAAATAATTTTTCATTCAAATAAGCTTGGAGATAGCTTTTCAAATATTAATTATGATTGTTGATAAAGATAAACAGAATGTCCTGTGACAGAAAGGTACTCCTCAGGAATCAGTTCATTTTAAAGTCCAATGAAGAAAGGGATACGGTACAGACAGACATGAGTAGGGGGAATGTGAGATTAAAGGAATAATTCTATAAAATGGGCCCACTGTGTGACCCCACATGCTTTCTTTTCCAAGAAGCAATTTACCCTGTAGCGCTTCGTGGCTTAAGCAGACAGGATATGTCATATTTCTCAACAAATTGCTTGTTATCTGCAAGAGAGAAAATAATGTTGGTAAGAGGAACACAAATGATCTGAAAGAGGAAGACTTTCGTGACCTTTTTCACAGTCCAGATTCCAGAACTCAGGAAGATAGGATAATTCCTCCTAATCATAAAGTCTGTAAGAATTTAGACTAGGATATAACTTTCATATATTCATATATGAATATAACTCCACATATGTACAACCCCAAGAATGGGAAGTTTTACTGCATATATGTATAATACGTTGAAATACATTCTACTGTCCTGTGTAACCAAAAAGAACAAAAATAAAATAAAAAAATCTAATTAGAACTGGTTAGTATGGGCCAAAGTGGCCTAGAGTTGTTGAGGCAGTGGGGACTTGAAAGTCTAATGTCATCCTGCTGTCAGTCAGAAATCAAGAGGTGAACCTGCGTGAGACTCTCTGAAAACTGGATTGCAGGAGAGGCACTTTGTTTTCTCTCCTCTCTGAGAGAACCCACTCTGTCCATTGAGATGATCCTCTTTTCCCCTTTCTAATAATGTCATGCCTGTTTCCCCTTTCTAATAATATCATGCCTGTTACTCCGAGCAACATGTTAAAATCTTTCTGATTTGAATGGGGTTGGGCGTTTGCACTGCCTTAGTTTCCTAGAAGGCCCCAGCCCTATAATAGTGCTATTGCATGACATGAAAGCTTTTTTTCGCCTCTCTGGTGGTGCTGGAGATTGAACACAAGGCCTTACATATGCAAGGCTAGCTCTCTGCTACTAAACTGTATCCCAGCCTAACAACAAAGTTTTAATTGAACATCTGTTTTTGTATTTTAAACTATTTTAAGTAGTTGATACTTGTAGAGTTGTGACTTTTGTACTTTAATATGCATATGTACTCAGTTTGGGATGATGAACAGGCATGCTGTAAATAAAAAATAAGTAAAGTTACTCCCTTAAAATATAGAATGAAGAATTATATTGAAATAAATGCTTTAAACCAGATGATATAAAAAGGATTACATTTCTTTATTTTTTTATTGATTTTATTTTTTTAAATACACAACATTTCTTTTGTGGAATATTTAGGAGTTCAAATGGTAATTAAGACTAAATTGCTAAATAGTGGCTGCATTTGTTAAATACATCTAAAGATATTTAAATATTAGTTATTTTATATATGAAATAAATTGTCCTGCAAAAAAGCACCTAATAGTTAAGGAACACAAGAACACAGGCTAACTAGAACTCTGACATTTTGTAAGGTACTTGTTTCACTTTAAAATATTCAAATTAGAGATATTAATATAAAAAGTTACATTTTCTTTAACCTTTCTCTTAATTATATTTTTGCTGTTTCAGATTATATATGAACAGGAAGGGGTATATATTCACTCATCTTGTGCAAAGACCAATGACCAAGACAGCTTAATTTCAGGAATATTACGTGTTTTAGAAAAGGTAAGATTCTAGTAAATGTATAATATTAATAGTTTTTGGAAGGGGTTTATTGTGGCATTATTAGAAAGTTTGAATTTAATATGTAAGATACAGTTATGTAATTGAATGGTGAGTGGTAAATGGGTTGAGAATGTACCATATTGTTGAATACTAAATTTAATTTTTGTTTTCTTTCTCTAGGATGCTGAAGTAATAGTGGACTGGAGACCATTGGATGATGCATTGGATTCTTCAAGTATTCTCTATGCTGGAAAGGTATTTAAGAAAAAAAGAAGCTGGGCATGCCTGTGTTCCCAGCAACTCGGAGGCTGAGGCAGGAGAATCATAAGTTTGAGGCCAGCCTGAGCAGTTTAGCAAGATTCTGTCTCAAAATTAAAAACTTAAAAAAGGTTTGAAGGTGTATCTCAATAGTAAAATGCCATTGGTTCATTTCCATATACTCCCCACCCCCAGATAATCAAGGGAATGCTGTCTTTTAAATAACAGCTTTATTTAGATATAATTTGCTGGGTGTGGTGGTGTACACCTGTAATCCCACTGGCTTGGGAGGCCGAGGCAGGAGGATCGTGAGTTCAAAAGCCAGTCTCGGCAAAAGCGAGGTGCTAAGCAACTCGGTGAGAACCTGTCTTTAAATAAAATACAAAATAGGGATGTGGCTCTGTGATTGAGTGCCCCTGGGTTCAATCCCCAGTACCTCCCCCCCAAAAAAAATCACATACCATACTGTTCATCCTCTCTAAGTACACAGTTTACAGTTTTTTATTATATTTATAGAGTTGTGAAACCATCATCAATATCTAATTTTAGAACCCTTATCAGTCCCCCAAAGGAACTCTGTTTATTAGCAGTCACCCTTTATTTTCCTACCTACTCTCAACTCCTGGCAATCTCTAACCTATTTTCTGTCTCTAAGGATTTTCCCATTCTGGACATTTTATATAAATGCAATCATGTAACATATGGTCTCTCGTGATGGGATTCTCTCACTTGAGAAAATGTTTTCCAAGTTCATCTATGTTATAACATAGTTTTTTTTTTTTTTTTCCTGAACAATGCATTCATGAATATATGTTTTATTTATTTGTTCCTTAGTTGGTGGACATTGGGTTGTTTTCATTTTGGGGCTAATATACATAATGCTGCTATAAATATTTGAGTACAAGTTTTTGTGTGGACTTTTTTTTCTCTTGAGTATATACCTAGGAGTAGAATTCTTGGTTCATATTATTTTGTGTTTTAATATTTGCTGTTTTCCAAAGCATCTATACTAGTTTCTAGTCCCGTATGCAGTATATGAGGATTCTAGTGTTTCCCATCTTCACCAACATTCGTTATGGTATTTTTTTAATTTAGTAAACCTAGTGAGTATGAAGTTGTGTTAGTTTCCTAAAGCTGCTGTTACAAAGCACCATAGACTAAGTGGCTTAGAACATTGGAAATTTATTGTCTCAGTTCTGGAGGGTAGAAGTCAAAAGTCAAGATGGGTTGTCAGCAGCGTTGGTTCCTACTGAGGGCTGTGAGGGAGAATTTGTTCCTTACCTCTCCTTCTAGTTTTAGGTTTGTAGATGACATTCTTCTTCCCTATGTTTTCACATCATCTTCCATTTGTACATGTCTGTGTTAAGATTTCCCCTCTTAATAAAGGGAAAATTATGTGTTCTTTAGAACACATAACTCATATCTTAATCAGGATATGAGTTATACTGAATGAGGACCAGCCTAATAATCTAATTTTAACTTGATTAAATAAGACCATCAGTCATGTTGGATTAGGACCCATTCATATAGCCTCATTTTAACTTGATTAATAAAATCACATTCTAAGACTTTTCCTTAGGGGTGCAGGGCAGCACACTTCAACCAATAGCTGAGGTGGTATGTCATCATGGTTTTGATTTATAGTTCCCTGATGACTAATGATGTTGAACATCTTTTCATCTGTTCGTATGTGTGTTTTCTTTGGAGAGGTGCCTGTTCTAAATCCTTTGCTTATTTGATTATCTTTTTGTTGTTGTTGTAAAAATTATGTGTTCTTTATACAAGATTTTGTTTATAAAATTTATTCTCATCCAAATGACATATTTTCCCTACTACATAAATCCTGAGTTGTAGGTTTATTTTGGAAAACTGATTACCTTTACTTTCCCACCAGACTTTTCATCTCTCCGGGCAATCACAGTGAAACCTTACCAAGCTTTTATTATGAAAGCCAAAGCATTTCCAGAAGCACTGAATTGAATTCTGCATGTATTATCATTGATAACCATAACTGTAAGGAAGTGTAGGCAAGCTTTTCTTGTTTTTTAGAAAAGATGAGCGAGGGAGAAAAGAATAGGCAATAGTGTTTGGTTGTCTGTCACAACTTACAAACGTAATTTAATAGAAGGCTGAGGTGGTATGGATTGAAATTAAATTCTAGTTTCAGACTTTAAATATTTTATATGTTATAATTATTTTAGGACTCCAGTTCAGTTGTAGAATGGACCCAGACCCCAAAAGAAAGACCTCATCGAGGATCAGAACATCTGAACAGTTATGAAGCCGAGTGGGACATGGTTAATACAGTTTCATTTAAAAAGAAACCACATACCAATGGAGGTATGAATTAAATTTTTGAAATCTTAAACTGGTTTGCTGTAGTATACTACTAAACATACAAAGAAAGTTCTTTAATACTCCTCAGTCAGAAGGGTGATTTGATGCTTCAATATGTATAACTCTCATTTCTGTTTTCATCTTTAAACAAGGATTTAAAAATACTTGTTGTATTTTGTAATTATTAATGGAAAAAAATAGAAATATTTTAAATAATCATCTGTCTTTCATGTACATTTTTCTTAACCTGGGATTTAAAATATCATGTTTTCTCATCCGAAAGCACCGAGGGAGATGGAGTATACTACTAAACTGTACCATTCTACTTTCAGTGTTTACTGGGCTCTTCACAGCTCCTTTTAGTCTCCCCTTTGTTTATTTTAAGATACTGTTTATCTTTCTATATTTAAATTTATATTTGCTAGATGGTGATTATCTTCATATTGTTAACATAAATAAGAGCCAATTTAGCAGCTTGACAACTGTATATGCTAATTCATATAAAGGAAATAACTTATATACTGATACTATATGGTACTGTATATTGTACCAAGTATGATGTCATTAGCCCATCTGTGATGTAGCCAGCCTATTTGTGATTTCTTTTTAAAATATTGATTCTTGTATAGAGTTAAAATGTCACATTTAAAAAAATATTGATTCCTTTGTATTTTGTAGCAGAAAGGATATTTTCTCTATGATTTTGGCCTGAATTTAGAAATTATCCATGGTTATCTGTTTAAAGGCTGGCCAAATTTATGGGTACATGTATTTGTCTAGCAGTTTTAAGTAAGCTTGATTTTAATGTATGGCCTGTGGAATTATTCCCACTTTCAGTAGTTATGCTTGCACTTCATCATGTCTAGGAAATAGTTCCAATTAAGAAGTAGATAGTATTTCACAAGCTATTGCTAACAGTCAGCTCAGGCATTGGTGTGACATTTTGGGGAGTGGGAAGGCATTTGGGTTTGCTCTTTCTACTGAAATGGAATGTTCTTACCTTAACCAGAACACAAAATGTTAAGGAAAGATAAAACCATTTAGTAAATGTTGGGGGTTAGATGATTTTTGACATCTCCTTCTATTGTAAGGATTTGTTCAAGATTGGGTTATGTGAAATATTTTTTGTTTGTTGATGCTTAAAACTTGACCACAGGAATGAACAAAATAATTTTTATAAACAAATGAATTACATGGATGAGAAAAGCATAAACTGGCACTATAGATCTTTTTAGGATTAGTGGTTTTTCAGCCTTGGATGTACTTTGAATTTACCTGGAGAGGTTAGGTTTAAAAAAACAAAACAAAACCAAAATCAAAATACAGAGTTGGGAGAGGGAGCATGGGCATCTATATTTTCCAAAAGGTCTTCAGGTGATTTTATTTTTATTTTTTTTTAATTTTTTTATTGTTGGTTGTTCAAAACATTACATAGTTGGTGATTTTAATATGTAGTCAGAGTTGAGAACTTCTGTGTAACTGAGCTTAGCAAAAACCACAGATGTAAATACTGCTTATGTGACTTGGTCACACAAAGTGACTTATAAAGTAAACAGACTTTATTTTGTTAACTGATAAAAGTCAAAGAAACAATTCCTAAGAAATTAAATTTCTTAGAACTTTTTATGAAATATTTTATATTTTTGAAGTTTTTTTTTTCCCCCAGAGGAAGAAGTTTGTATTAATTTTGTCACCTTTTATTTTTACTTTGTACTTTTTTTCTTTTTGGAAAGGCAGAAAGGAAACTTGGGACAAAACTTTAAACAATTTGACTGTTGAGGACTTGTTTAACTTTTTTTCTTTAAATGCATTTAACTTTATATTTCATAAGTTTATTTTACTAAATCCCTTGTTTTTATATACCATATAAAGTTTTGAAAATATTTCTTCCCAGAAAAATACACTGTTAAAAGTTATTACCTATGTCCAAATGTATGTAGGTAATAAAATGTCATGCCTTTCATGTTAATTCTGTTCAAGACGTATGGAGACTTACTGAACTGTTTTGTATTACTTTTTAGTTTTTCCATGTCGGTGTGTTGAAGATTATTTTTACGTGTTTGGTGACAAAAGATTATTAGAACTGCTTACTTATCTTTTCTTTATGGAGAAGGGAGGACATTTCAAATTATCTCTTGGCTTTCTTAGTTTTTCTTTATAATAAATTCTATTTCTGGGTAGCTATCAGCAGCAGAATAACTTGCAGATTACTTTTGCGTTGACTTAATATTAGATTATTAGTGCAAAATGCATCTTTGGGTACCTACTGTATGCTAGCCACTCTTCAAGCACTGGGGATATACCCATGAACAAAATAAAGTTCTTATTCTCTTAAAGTCTACTTTCTAGTGGAGGGACTTGTAGAATTAACTTCTAATATTTCTCTCGTCTTTGTCAGAGCTTTATGTGAAGAAATGTGTGAGGTATTTCCTTTTGAATACAATATGTAATGTGTCTCTTCCATTCAGAAGGGAAAATTTATATAAAATCTTTACTCTTGAAAATGCACAAATTTCTATAACTCATATCCTGTTTTAAATTTACCATATAATTTTCTTATATGAATTTAGATTAAATACTCTTGGTACAATTGAATAATTTAAAATATTGTCTATCTAGTTTTTCATAGCTGTTTTTCTAGAAAACATTTTTTAGTCTTCGTAAATAATTTAGTAGTATGCATTCTGAATAGTTCAGGTACATTCATACTTAAATGATTTGTGGATATGTCGGAATTCTAGAAATATTCTCACTTCATCAGCTTATAGTGGTGTTTATGAGTTCTATACTAGTGAAACATTATGTAAAGTAGTCAGGTGGGTACATGGCACTTAATCTAATATAAGCATTAGATACGAGTTCACCATTCAAACTAGTGTGGAAGCTAGGCACCTCAGTGTAATATAGGTCAATTACTTGAGCCTTTCTGGATATCTTTCAAATGATACTTGTTAAAATGCCCATGAAATGATAGTCCCTATGTTGCTTGCAGATAGAAGTTTCTGTAAGCTGGATTTCTCTTTATCAGTTTAGGAAATTTTGTTTGGGATGATGGAAGCAATAGTGTTCCTAATTAGATGAGAAGATGACATACATGCAGGTCAACACTGATTGGTCTTTTGATCAAGTCTTAGAGGCATCTGTCTTCTATGTAGTTTATCCTTATGGAATTGATTATGATTATGTGGGACAATTCATAAAAATCTTGAGTAGCAAGATAATAATGTGACATTTCTTATCAAATAACAGAAAAGTTTAAAATTTTAGAGACATGACATGCTGTTGTTTGAGTTAAATTATTAAAATAAACTAATTTAGATTAGAAATTAATTATTGGTATTAGTGTTATTAACAAAAATACTGCTTTCCTTTTATAAATTTTTTATTTTAATAGTTAATCTTTGATTTGTGAACTGTTATGAAAATATTTCTGAACCTAGGATCTTATTTATTATTTTAAAAAAATATTTATTTATTTACTTTAGTTGTAGGTGAACACAATATCTTCATTTTCTTTTTATGTGGTGCTGAGGATCGAACCCAGTGCCTCACACATGCTGGGCAAGTGCTCTACCTCTGAGCCACAACCACAGCCCATAGGATTTTAAATTCTGTAAACATACTCAGAAATGCTAGATTTTACATAACTATAGTTTGGTTTGAACTGAGGTCTTAATTTAACAGAAAGTTGATTTAGCAAGATGATCAAGTGTATTTCGTTCTTTTTTTCCTAAATATTTATTTTCTAGTTATAGGTGGACACAATATCTTTATTTTTTTATTTTTATACTAGACGAGTGCTCTACCTCTGCGCCACAACCCCAGCCCTGAATTTACTTCTTATGGAAGCTTTCTCATCTTTTCATCCTTAATCCCCCACTGTTTTTTTTTTTTTGGGGGGGGGTGGGTGTAGGGGGGGAAACAAAGCGTCTGTATAGTCACTCCAGTGTTGTTGATGTTGTTAAATCAGTATGCTTATCTTCATTATCAGTATAATCTCTTAAAAATTATTACAAAAGGAAGTAAATAAATAAAAATTTTTTTAAAGATGAAATGATTTTCTTAAGAGAATTATGCTACTCTTTTTTGTATGGAGTGGGAAAGATTAACACTTATTATTGTTATATATATATTATTGTTATATACTTGGCCTGTACCACTTAGTTGACAAATATTATCTCTTAATTATTGGGATAGTATTGGAAGGTAACTATAATTATCTCCATTTCATAGCTAAAGAAACTGTGGCTTGGGGCTAGGGATGTGGCTCAAGCGGTAGTGTGCCCGTCTGGCATGTGCAGGGCGCTGGGTACGATCCTCAGCACCACATAAAAATAAAAAATAAAGATGTTGTGTCTACCGAAAACTAAAAAATAAATATTTAAAAAAAAATTCTAGTAGAGGATAGGAAAGGCAGCAGAATACAACAGACACTAGTATGGCAATATGTAAATCAGTGGATGTGTAACCGATGTGATTCTGCAATCTGTATCCAGGGTAAAAATGGGAGTTCATAACCCACTTGAATCAAAGTGTGAAATATGATATGTCAAGAACTATGTAATGTTTTGAACAACCAACAATAAAAATTAAAAAATAAATAAATAAAATAAAAAATTCTCTTTCTCTCTTAAAAAAAAAAAAAAAAAAAGAAACTGTGGCTCAAAGAGATTCAGTTATTTGCCGCAGATTATTCAGTTAGTAAGATGATAGACCTGCAATTTGAATTGAGCCAGCCTGCTTCAAAGTCATGGTCATTTTGGGGCAAAGCTTATATTTTACATAGGGATAACATTTTTTGGATTTATTTGTGTCAGGGTAGTTATTTTAAAAATAATTCTTTTTAGGAAAACATTATGTTGCCATTTCCAATACAAATGGAAACCATAGAAACATGAATGAATATGATTCCCTGAGTTTAACAGATTTCTCTTAGGCAGTCATGAAGAGCACTCTCAGTACATTTAAAAAGGTGAACAAAATATTTTGCCCTACTTTCTTGTTTTTAAGATGCTCCGAGTCATAGAAATGGGAAAAGCAAATGGTCATTCCTGTTCAGTTTGACAGACCTGAAATCAATCAAGCAAAACAAAGAAGGTATGGGCTGGTCGTATTTGGTATTCCGACTAAAGGATGACGTCGTACTCCCTGCTCTGCACTTTCATCAAGGAGATAGCAAACTACTGATTGAATCTCTTGAAAAATATGTGGTATTGTGTGAGTAAGTATCAAATTATTTTCTACTTATTGAAACTGGATTGTTGTATTAACCCCAAAGTAAGCTAGTTTCACATGTCATTGGGCCTCAGTGCCCTATGTGTATATGAGGGCTTGAACAACTTTATTTTGGGATATTGACTTTGGATCAATGATCAAATAAAAGTTTTTGCCATTTTAGTGATTTCAGTCTGACATATTTTCACATTATTAGTGTTTTAAAGAAAAGACTAATTCAATATTATTATGTTGGAGGGCTGGGGTAGTGGCTCAGTAGTAGAGTGCTCGCCTAGCACATGTGAGGCACTGGGTTCGATTCTTAGCACCACATAAAAATAAATAAATAAAATAAAGTCATTGTGTCCATCTACAACTAAAGAAATATACTTAAAAATATTATTGTTTGAATGAATTATGTGTTAGTAATTTATGAATTATATATTTACTAATTTACCTTTCTATTTTCTGTTAAAATGCAACTTTATTTGTAATGTTGGAACTTTTAAGTCAGGCAAGCCTGTGTCTTTTGAAAAATTATTTGTAAATTGGAAAACAAAGCCTTCTCATTTTTCAAAAATCTTGTCTTATTTATATACCTGGACATACGCTTTCTTGGTCTCATTCTCAACAATTTTTTCTTGGGGGTGGGGTGGGGCGTGTCTGTTTCTTCTCAAGCACTATGCTATTTGCTTGACACTGAGAATGAACAAAACAGGTGTGTTACTCAGTCTCTGAGAATGTATGTTCTTGTGAAGGATGCCAACAAGTAAATGGCAATTAAAACTCGAGAACTAAGAGGGAAGAACTGCAGGGTACTTTTGGGAGCTCCCAGGATTAAAGAAGGGATACATAATTTATATTGGGAAGTGAGGATCAAAGAAGATTTTCTGGAAGCAGTAGCATCTAAGTTGAGATCTGAAAAAATAGTGAATCATTAGTGTGAAAGTTTAGAGGGAGGAATGCTTTAGTAGAGGGAGAGCAAAAGCATGATGTAATCACAGAACAAAGTAGTTCGGTATTACAGGTCTGCAAAGTGGGGGGAAAAGAAAAGTACTGAAGTTACATATAAGGCCAGAGATATGTGTAAGAACCAGAGCACAAAGGATTTTGTTAAGTCATGATAGCAGGTTCCATTCATCCAGATGAGATTAAGGTGGCTGGAACAAGGAGAGTGGCAGGCAAGGTAGAAGTATTGGAGAAATATTTAGGACTAGACTTTGTGGTTGGTTGGATCACAAATCAAATTGAGAAGGGAGAAATTGAGGTTTTTGGCTTGTGAGTACTGCAGTAGATGATTGTTAACTCCATTAATAATTCTTCGCTTTATAGTAGAGTTTAATAGCACCTTGACTAGATTTAGATTATGTAAGGATGGGAGTAGCCCAGCAAATTTGATTGTATAGCTCCTGGCCTGAGTTTCTTTCTTTAACCTCTGAATGGCACTAAGCATGCTGTTTGATACCATTAAGATAAGAAAGTCAGGCTTGGTTGGTGGTATGTTGGTTTTAATTTTCAAGAGAGAAGCTGTGAATAGGTTACCATTGAGAAGTTAAAGTAGATTTCAGGAGAGGCAATGTCATGATTGGAGCAGGTGGTCATGGCAGTTGATTGAGCAGCAGCATTAGAGACTGTGGAGGCATTTAGCACTGTAGTAAACTCAATAAATGTGTTGTGGTATAACTTACAAGAGCTCATTTGATCTGAGACTGTTAATTAAAGCATATTATCTAAGGTGAGGAATCTTACTCTTTACTGGTAAGATCATACTTTAGAGAAGCAGGCTTAGTTTTAAGTACTGCTTTTATTTTTTTAAATATTTATTTATTTTTTAGGTGTAGATGGACACAACACAATGCCTTTATTTATATGTGGTGCTGAGGACCGAACCCGGGTCCCGCCCGCGCTAGGCTAGCGCTCTACCGCTGAGCCACAATCCCAGCCCTGTGGACTAACTATTCTGCACTGTGGAGATAACCAGTGTAAGGAAAAGGATCACAATGGTGTTTGGAAGATACTTGAGGGATATGGGAATTTAACTTGAAGAAAAGTCTTTGTGCAACAGTAAATATAATTCTGAACTTTTTATGATGGTCAACAAGGGCCTGCTCTATCTTTGCTTTGTTTTTTATCTTAAATCTCATCTTTAACCATTCTTTGCTGTGTTCTTATCACATGGTTTTTTTGTAGTTCCTAAAATCCCTTAAATTCTTTTGTATCTTAAAGTCCTTTACACATGCTCTTTCTTTTGCCTGGAAAAGATCTTTTGGTCAATTCACAATAGCTAAGCTATGAAACCTACCTAGGTGCTCTTCAACAGAAGAATGGACAAAGAAAATGTGGTATATATACACAAGAGAATATTACTCAGCCATAAAAAAAAAATTTCTGGCGTGAGTTTCTTTCTTCATCAAAATTCCTTTCTGATCTCAGGTCTCAGTTTAGTATTTCCTCAGAGGGACTTTTTTAGATCACTCTTTCACCATCTAATAAATTTCTCCTATCTTTTTTTTTTGTTTGCTTCCTTCATGTCAATTAAGATCATAAAATAATTTTGTCTATTTACTTCTTTTGCATTCTGTTATGGAATGTAAGTTTCAGAAGGACAGGTATTGCATCTTGTCGTCCCCCCCCCCCCCTTCCTAGCCACAGTGCTGGTTACTTATAGATAAATGTAAAAGTTGAATGAATAGATGTCATGGTAATTATCAATTGGATATATGATTTTAAAAGGATTATTGTGAGGAATAAATTGTAGGTTTGGATGACTCTATAAGGAAATTAGGAGGCAGGCATATTAAATTCAGGAGGTAGAATTTTCTGTCCTTGATAGATTTAAGGACAGTGTCAATCACATAGACAGTTATAGGGGTATGTATACCTTGAATATGTGTTGGTAGCGTTTTAATGAGGTAGTGAGCTTAGTTTCTGTTTCTGAGTTTGTATAAATGAGAAGTAAATAGAAGAAGCAGAAGTGGTGATAAAAATACTATTATTAGTGAGTCTTAAGTATGTAGCCTCATAATTCACCTCAAATTAATTAAAAAAAATTTTTTTTTGGTACCAGGGATTGAACCCAGGATTTTGAACCATATCCTCAGCCCTCCCCTCCCCCAATTCCATTTCTTTTCTTTTTTTTAAAAAATAAAAAACTTCTTCATTTGTTTATTTTAGATATGCATGATAGTAGAGTGTATTTTGACATGCGTACATGGAGTATAACTTATTCTAATTAGGATTTTATTCTTGTGGTTGAACATGATATAGTTACAGTGGTCATATATTCAGATATGAACATAGGAAAGTTATGTCCGATTCATTCTGCTGTCTTTCCTGTTCTCATCCCCACCTTTCCTTTCATCCCCCTTTGTCTAATCCAGTAAACTTCACCACCCCCACATTGTGTGTTAGCATCTGCATATCAGAGAGAACACTTGACCTTTGTTTTTTGAGGATTGGCTTATTTAATTTATCATGACAGTTTCCAGTTCCATCCATTTACTAGCAAAAGTCCTAAAGTTATTTTTTTTTATGGCTGAGTAATATTCTCTTGTGTATATATGCACCACATTTTCTGTGTCCATTCTTCTGTTGAAGGGCACCTAGGTTGGTTCCATAGCTTAGCTATTGTGAATGGAGCTGCTATAAACATTGATGTAGGTGCATCCCTGTAGTATGCTGATCTTAAGTCCTTTGGGAATAAACCAAGGAGTGGGATAACAGGTCAAATGGTGGTTAAATTCCAAGTTTTCTCTGTAATTTCCATACTGCTTTCCAGAGTGGTTGCATCAATTTGCAGTCCTATTAACAATGTATGAGTGTACCTTTCCCCCCGCATTCTTGCTAACATTTATTGTTGCTTGTATTCTTGATAACTGCCATTCTGACTAGACAGAGTGAGATGGAATCTCAGTGTAGTTTTTGATTTCCATTTCTCTAATTGCTAGAGAACATTTTTTCATATATTTGTTGACCAGTTATATTTCTTCTTCTGTGAAGTGCCTGTTCAGTTTCTTTGCCCATTTATTTATTGGGGTACTTGGGGGTTTTGGTGTTATTTTTTGAGTTCTTTATATTTCCTGGAGATTAATGCTCTATCTGATGTGCAAGTGGCAAAGATTTTCTCCCATTCTGTTTGCTGTCTGTCCACGTTCTTGATTATTTCCTTTGCTATGAAGAAGCCTTTTAGTTTGATACCATCCCATTTATTGATTCTTGATTTTATTTCTTGCATTTTAGGAGTCTTGTTAAGGAAGTCAGATCCTAAGCTGACATGATGGCAAGTTGGGCAGACTTTTTCTTCTAGTAGACACAGGGTCTTTGGTCTAATTCCTAGGTCTTGATCCACTTTGAGTTGAGTTTTGTGCAGGTTGAGAGACAGGGGTTCAGTTTCATTCTACTACATATGGATTTCCAGTTTTCCCAGCACCATTTGTTGAAGAGGCTGTCTTTTCTCCAATGTATGTCATTATGGCATCTTTGTCTAGTATGAGATAACTGTATATATGTGGTTTTGTCTCTGTGTCTTCTGTTCCCTTGCGTGTTTTGGTGTCAGTTCCATGCCGTTTTGTTGTTATAGCTGTGTAGTATAATTTAAGGTCCGGTATTGTGATGCCTCTTTTCACTAAGGATTGCTTTGGCTATTCTGGGCCTCTTGTTTTCCCAAATGAAATTCATGACTGTCTTTCCTGTTTCTATGAAGAACGTCATTGGAATTTTAATAATAATTCTATTAAGTCTGTATAGTGCTTTTGGTAGTATGGCCATTTTGACAATATTAATTCTGCCTATCCAAGAGCATGGATATCTTTCCATCTTCTAAGGTCTTCTTCAATTTCTTTCTTTAGTGTTGTGTAATTTTCATTGTAGAGGTCTTTCATTTCTTTTGTTAGATTAATTCCGAAGTATTTTTTTTTCCTGAGGCTATTTGTGAATAGGATAGGTTTCCTAATTTCTCTTTCATCTGATTCATCATTGGTATATCAATTGATTTATGGGTGTTAATTT